CATATGGTTTGGTTTGTTGTGCTTTACGTCATATCAACCTCAATTGGTTATTTAACGCTGACACCTTTTTTTTTTTTCTGGTAATATTTTGTTTTGTCAAAAATCTATTTCTGGTAATATTTTTTTCCTCAAAAATGTATAGCGGGTAATATTATTTTAAAACATGTATTGCTAGAAATATTTTTTTTTCAAGAACGTATTGCTGGTAATATTTTTTTTCTCAAAAATATATTGCTGGTAAATTTATTTTTTCTTCAAAAATTTATTTCTGGTAATACTTTTCTACAAAGTATTTCTGATATTAAAACCTATTTTTACACGTTTATAATGCTTTTTACCTCAGTTTCGGAGTTAAATATTTGCCCAAAGCTGTGACCATAGCAGGTGAAACTGCACCAGGTCAGGGTGGACCTGGGAACACCAGCAATTAAGAGGTGATTCCACGCTCCTCAAAACCTGATCAGAGGCCTTGCTGTTAGACGGAGTTTATCGTCTTACCCAAGACGCAGATGCAGTTTATCGTCATACCCAGGATGGTGACACTTATATGGGAATGGTGTCTTGCGTTATAAATTCTAGGTAGCAAGCTATTTGCATAAGAGCTGCATCCTCACAGGGTGCTCCAATGTTAAACTAAACAGCTCCCCAAAACAAGCTAAGCATCTCTCCAAAGCCGTTAATATAATAATCGTTATTGTCATGGTGACGTTTTACACGACAGTCTAACCTGCCTGCAGAGATAAAATACACGGGAATGCGCACTTGAGCAAACCGCTCCCTTTCTCATTTCTTATCCAGTGGTAGAAATTGTCTCATGTATTGTCACGCATACACAATGAAAAAGATGGAGAGAGAAGGAAAAATGTACGAAAATCTTTATAAATTGCTAATATTTCGGTATTTATTTAACTTCATCAGAAATTTTGAAAGCGATGACGTTAAGTGAAACCTAAATGAATTATTCCTTATTTAATTATTCTGTGAAATTCAATCTATATTTTCAACTTTTATATATATATATATATATATATATATATATATATATATTGTTCATCATCATTTATATTGTTCCATATTTTTACTTACTATATATATATATATATATATATACATATATATATATATATATATATATATATATATATATATATATATATATATATATAGTACAAGGAAAAATATGGAGACACTCATAAAAAATGATGATGAATAATATATATATATATATATATATATAAAAGTATATATATATATATATATATATATATATATATATATATATATATATATATATATATATATATATATTTATAAATTATATGTGTGGTACTTATTAGAAAGCGCTCAATATCAGAGATAGAGTTAACATATTTGATTGATGTGAGTTTGACCCTGGGTTTCACGCTTTTGCGATCGTCAGCTGACGATCGCAAAAGCGTGAAACCCAGGGTCACAAACTCACATCAATCCAACCATATATATATATATATATATATATATATATATATATATATATATATATATATATATATATATTGCATTTGTATTTAAATTTATTAACATGCTTAAGCATTGTTCTGACTTCGAGAGAGTCCACGTCGCCACTTTTCATGATCTTGGTCTGTCTAATAGATCGATAGCTGATAAGATTAATCGAAGTGACTCATGTGCCCCACCCCCGCGAGTTAATCAAAAAGAGAAATCAAACTGGAACATATAATAGATGTAGCGGATCTGGCCGACCGCTAAAAATTAACGACAGGGAAGATAGAAACTTGGACCGTCAGGGCAAAAAGAGATCGATTCGCAACAGTACAAGATGTTTCCATAGCGTCTAGCTTGGCGATTTCTCCAAGAATTAGTGAGATGCAAGCTTAAAGTAAAAGGCATTGTTTCCAAATACAAAAAAAAGAAACCTTTCCTATCTGGAAAAAATCGACGGGCACGGTTGGCTTGTTGCAAAGCTCATTTACACGGGACTAAATCTGATTGGGAAGTGCAGTAACGAGACTCCCTTTACTCTTAGATATGAAGGACGAATACGTGTTTGGTGTACGTCAAGTAAAATCAATATTCCAGTGACTAGCAAAAGCAATGTTAAACACAATAAAAAAATCAACGTTTGGCGTTCATTCTCAGCAGCAGGAGTTGTTAATTTGTACAAAATCGAGGGTACCATGGACTAGCATCAATACCACAACATTCTTGTTAATCAAATGTAGCTTTCTGTTAAAAACCTTTTTGCTCAAGATCAACGCTTTACGTTCCAACACGATAATGATCCTAACCATATTGCCTTAAAGGATAAACCTTATCGAGAGAGGAAGTGAGGGTAAATTGCAACTCTTCCAGTGTCCTAGTCACAGTCCTCACCTAAACCCAATTGAAAACCTTTGGACGATAAAGTGTGCCCGTAATAGGAAAGTTAACGCAGAAGATGAGCTGTTCGTGAATTAAAGAAACGCTGGTAAAATCTGGCGAAGAACTTAGTAAATAAATAAGTCGGCAGCATACCATGAAGAATTAAGGCCGTTAATAAAGGAAAAGGTTACCCAAAAAACCATTTTTTGACTTGTATAATGTACATATGTACATCTGTATTAATAGACGAAATCTATTACTCACTTGTCTTGGTAAAAATACAAAAATCGACTTTCTATGGGTGTGTTCCTTTTTTTGTCTCGTACTATATATATATATATATATATATATATATATATATATATATATATATATATTTAAAATATAGTTTTAAGTTATGCTATATTATGGGATAATGTGTTCAATATCAGAGATTGTGCGTATGTAAATATAAAAGTGAACATTGAAGTCAACACTCAGAGTTGATAGACTGTTTCATGCTAAACGCAACCATCAGGCCTGATGATTGCTTTTCGCATGAAGCACTCTATCGCTTCTGAGTGTTGATTTCAATGTTCATTCATATATATATATATATATATATATATATATATATATATATATATATATATATAGGGATACCAACGAATACTCGTTGTCACTTTTGTAATCCTCGTTGTAGTAGAGACTTTGTAATCGCAGATAAAACTATACTAACGCCGTTGAACAATACTAGTGTCAGACGCCGTCGAACAACACTCGCACTAATAGTACTTGCTCGATAATACTCGCTCGAATAGTAATCCATATAATCATCCGAATAGAGGAATATTATAGTGAATAGTAGAGAGAAAAGCGATCCGTATAGTAATAGAGGATAGAGTAGAAATGACGATCTGTATAGTATAGAGGATAGACTAAAAATAGAGATCAATTAGACACATGCTATGGTGACGTTGTTTAATTAATTCAATAATGGGATCGCCCGTGTTTGCACACTGGCGATCTATGTTCAAACTTAAGTGTCGGCAGCGACACTTTATTCCTATATAATAATATACTTGATGTTAAGATGAAATTCATCAAATGAAGTCGGCGTAGTTATTCCTACGCAAGTACTTTCGATCTCCTCCAAGCTCATCTTCACGGGCAAATTACAAACACAAACTTATTGTAACTCTGATAAAATCTGCGTTTTGTTGTGATGGTGATTTGTTATAACTATTTTAAAATGTTAAATTTATCCGTTCTAGGAATGGAACTTTTTGGTAAAACGAACGTTTCAATATAATATTCTATATGAAAATCAATCAACCAACACTCAACAAAATTTATTGCAACTTAGGCCGCAATGTGTTGAAGTTCATTTATATCAAATATCTAATGCCATTTTGCATGCTATCAATTTCCGGTCAGTCCCTTCTATTTTTTTACAAAAAAAACATAGCCTACTTAACGTCGAAATTACTTGGATTGAAAAAGACAAACTATGGCGCTTTCCATGATGAATTTCATCTCAACATCATGTAATTGATTAAAGAACTGGAAAAGATCAGTATAAAAATAAGTAGACGCAATATGTCTATTTTATTCAATGAAATATATATATATATATATATATATATATATATATATATATATATATATATATATATATATTAGTGCATATTTGGGCAGCAACCTTACTTTTTTAGAAATCTTTCATTAAATATGGCATACAAGGAAGAGTAAATTAATTTTTTATTTAGTTTTTTTTTCCCCGTTTTCTAGGAGTAAGTGGGTACAAAAATTTTGCATAATTTTCATTGTCACAAGCGCTTTCGGCCACTTTAATCATTTTCAAATTGTTTTAAATAGCAGCGTTTATTCCGAGCCTTCGAACGTGGCTGAATTTCGCGTGAGCATCTCTCTCCCTTTCTCTTTTTTTTTTAACACTCCACTTTGACATTTTAAATAAGGTGGGGTTGACAGTAAGAGAGCCATGTTTAATAGAAAGGGTTTTACTAATAGCAAGATATTTTCTGTAATGAAATGTATATAGAATTTTTGTGTTTCCGACCAGAATTTTCCATAACGGTTCTTGTAAATTGTGGATTCAGAAAAATTTTTTATAGCACTTTGATCTGAGAAGTGATACGCGACGCATCTACTCAAAGAGGTGTTAGTATCTATTTCTCTCTCTCTCTCTCTCTCTCTCTTTCTCTATATATATATATATATATATATATATATATATATATATATATATATATATATATATCTGTCGCTGTATCGGTACGATCATATTCTATTTTTTATAAAATTTGCATCAGGATATCGTGTCGTTTTGTTTTTTCTGCATTTTCCTCCACTCCATCCCCGCACTAAATTGCAACATTGTGCATAATTATGCATCTGTGCAAATAAGTATATTCCTCGGTATTTGCATCGGATGCATATTTTCTTCCTGACTGATCCAAGGATTCGGTTCCGGAATTTCGGAATAGCCATTAAGTTTTGAAGTTGTCATTCCAGAATCCTCGTGTGCATTCAACTGCTGCGTCAAATTATCTTATTTCTCAAACTACCGTACGTGATTGAACGCTTGAGTTATTGTTCGGAAATTGCTATTCCAAGTAAGTGATCCAATTTTCCCAAACATGATTACGTTAGCATATAATTAATCCGCGAGATTATTTATGAATTCAAGAATAGTATTCGACGTGGATCTTCTGTCTGATTCCTTCTTTTAAAGATTCAAACTGATTCCATCCTCACCGTTAAAAAAAAAAGAAGAAAAAATAGCCGGAGAAGAGGAAGCGTTGTTTGAATCTCCTGCATGACAAGTTTTCAATATTTATATAAATTAAAGTCAGACTGATGTCCTCATCTATCTATCTATCTATCTATCTATCTATCTATCTATCTATCTATCTATCTATCTATCTCAGTCTGTTCATATCTATCTATCTCAGTCTAGTCTGTTCATATCTATCTATCTATCTATCTATCTATCTATCTATCTATCTATCTATCTCAGTCTAGTCATATCTATCTCAGTCTAGTCATATCTATCTCTATCTATCTATCTATCTATCTAGTCTATCATATCTATCTCAGTCTATTCATATCTATCTATCTATCATCTCTATCATCTATCTATCTCAGTCTAGTCATATCTATCTATCTATCTATCTATCTATCTATCTATCTCAGTCTAGTCATATCTATCTCAGTCTAGTCATATCTATCTCTATCTATCTCTATCTATCTATCTATCTATCTATCTCATCTAGTCATATCTATCTCAGTCTAGTCATATCTATCTCTATCTATCTATCTCTATCTATCTATCTATCTCAGTCTAGTCATATCTATCTCATCTATCATATCTATCTATCTATCTATCTATCTATCTATCTAACTATCTCAGTCATCATCTATCTCAGTCTAGTCATCTATCTATCTATCTATCTATCTATCTATCTATTTATCTATCTATCTATCTATCTCAGTCTAGTCATCTATCTCAGTCTATTCATTCATCTATCTATCTATCTCTATCATCTATCTATCTATCTATCTCAGTCTAGTCATATCTATCTCAGTCTAGTCATATCTATCTATCTATCTATCTATCTATCTATCTATCTCAGTCTAGTCATATCTATCTCAGTCTAGTCATATCTATCTATCTATCTATCTATCTATCTATCTATCTATCTATCTCAGTCTAGTCATATCTATCTCAGTCTAGTCATATCTATCTATCTATCTATCTATCTATCTATCTATCTATCTATCTATCTATCTATCTCAGTCTAGTCATATCTATCTCAGTCTATTCATATCTATCTATCTATCTATCTATCTATCTATCTATCTATCTATCTATCTATCTCAGTCTATTCATATCTCTATCTATCTATCTATCTATCTATCTATCTCCAGTCTAGTCATATCTATCTATCTATCTATCTATCTATCTCATCTATCTATCTCAGTCTATCATATCTATCTCAGTCTATCATATCTCTATCTATCTATCTATCTATCTATCTATCTATCTATCAGTCTAGTCATGTCTATCTCAGTCTATCATATCTATCTCAGTCTAGTCATCATCTATCTATCTATCTATCTATCTATCTCAGTCTAGTCATGTCTAACTCAGTCTAGTCATATCTATCTCAGTCTAGTCATATCTATCTATCTATCTATCTATCTATCTATCTATCTCTCTCTAGTCATATCTATCTCAGTCTAGTCATATCTATCTATCTATCTATCTATCTATCTATCTATCTATCTCAGTCTAGTCATATCTATCTATCTATCTATCTATCTATCTATCTATCTATCTATCTATCTATCTATCCATCCATCCGTCCATCTATCTATCTATCTATCTATCTATCTATCTATCTATCTTAGTCTGTTCATATTTCCAAAACATTATTCTTTAATTAAAGTTTTTACAGTAAATTAGTGATTCAACAACTGATGAATGAAATATTTTTAACATTGTTACATTTATCTGAGCAATATGGATATGAGCTTCTGTTTTTTACTATCACAGACTTTCTCCACATCTTGGTCAATTGTCCAGCCACTTTTAGTTCTACTCACACTGACTCTGGCCATATTACCGGACCCAAGGACTACACTTGCAATAATTGTAACGTGCGACCAGTCATATGATTTTATACTAGGAATTAATGATTTATTTTAATTTTTTGTTCAGTTTTAGATTATTTGTGAAAATGAATCAGCAGAATTGATTGAAACCGTTATGCTAACAGCAAAGTACAGCGATGCCGCATATTCAATTTGAAAAATCTTTATAGGATTAAAAATCAACAAATAAGAAAATGTCTTTTAATAACCTACAACTGAAACAACTTTTAAATGAAGAATGTACAATGTTAGATCAAATAAGCATCTAAAAGAAAGAATATACGAGATTAAATCAAATAAGCCTCTAATGTAAAGACTATATGATGTTAGATCAACTAACGCTCTAAAACAAAGAATATACAATGGTAGATCAAATAAGCCTCTAATGGAAAGATTATATGATGTTAGATCAAATAAGGCTCTAAAAGAAAGAATATACGATGGTAGATCAAATAAGCCTCTATTGGAAAGAGCTTATGATGGTAGATCAAATAAGGCTCTAAAACAAAGAATATACGATGGTAGATCAAATTAGCCTCTAATGGAAAGACTATATGATGTTAGATCAAATAAGGCTCTAAAACAAAGAATATACGATGGTAGATCAAATAAGCCTCTATTGGAAAGAGCTTATGATGGTAGATCAAATAAGGCTCCAAAACAAAGAATATACGATGGTAGATCAAATTAGGCTCTAAAACAAAGAATATATGATGTTAGATCAAATAAGTCTCTAAAACTAAGAATATACGAGCTTAGAACAAATAAGCATCTAATGGAAAAACTAAATGATGTTAGATCAAATAAGGCTCTAAAACAAAGAATATACGATGGTAGATCAAATAAGACTCTAATGAAAGACTATATGATATTAGATCAAATAAGACTCTAAAACAAAAAATACACGAGCGTAGATCAAATAAGCCTCTAATGGAAAGACCTTATGATGTTAGATCAAATAAGACTCTAATGAAAGAATATATGATGTTAGATCCAATAAGGCTCTAAAACAAAGAATATACGAGCTCTGATCAAATAAGCCTCTAATAGAAAGACTATATGATGTTACATTAAATAAGGCTCTAAAACAAAGAAAATACGAGTTTAGATGAAATAAGCCTCCAATGGAAAGAATATGTGATGTCAGATCAAATAAGGCTCTAAAACAACGAATATACGGTGGTAGATCAAATAAGCCTCTAATGGAAAGACTATATGATGTTAGATCAAATAAGGCTCTAAAACAATTAATATACGGGCTTAGATCAAATAAGCCTCTAATGTAAAGACTATATGATGTTAGATCAAATAAGGCTCTAAAACAAAGAATATACGGTGGTAGATCAAATAAGCCTCTAATGAAAGAATATATGATGTTTGATCCAATAAGGCTCTAAAACAAAGAATATACGAGCTTAGATCAAATAAGCCTCTAATGGAAAGACTATATGATGTTAGATCAAATAAGTCTCTAAAACAAGGAAGCTTAGATCAAATAAGCATCTAAAAGAAAGAATAGAGAATGGCTGATCAAATAAGCCTCGACACAAAGAATATACAATGATTAATCAAATAAGCCTGTATAATAGAATGAAATCAAGAGGCTATACAGTGTCTCATTCTATATACATTAGATCAAATAAACCTCCAACAGAAAGTATAGAGCATTGTTTCTCAACCGGGGTTCCCGGAACTCTAAGTTTCTGCCAAAGGCCCCCAAAGCTTCCATGAGAACAACTAAGATAAGCTAATGCACTTATGACTTTTTATTTAATATATAATATTGCTAAACACAGACAATATATTCTTGGTTATTGTAATGAAGACACCCCCTTCTCTAACGAATTATGTTATTAAAAAAATAGAACAATCATTGGGAATATATTTGGTGATGTCTGTACAGCACCAGTTTAAAACCCCCTTCACTAGTCAGTGCCCACTCAGCGAACGGGACACGTACTTTAATTTATTCTTTTGTTTTTCTTGAAATCTCCCTGATGACGTATCATAAACGAATAGTATCAATTTTATTTAGCATTATCGAAATATTTGACAAAGAAATATTCTTCTTTTTTTTTTTTTTACTTAAACCAGTTATTCAAAAATATATACTGTGATATTTACCACGTGAACAAAGATGAAAATAAAATGAGAAAGATATGGTATATAATTTTGTTTTCGCGCAGGGGTTCTTTGAGACATGTAATTTATTTTAAGGTTTGCGCAAGGTTAAAAAGGTTGAGAAACGCTGAAGGATGTTCAATCAAATAAGCCTTTAAAAGAAAGAATATACACTATTCAATCAAATGAGCATCTAAAGGACAGAATATACGAGCTTAGATCAAATAAGCCTCTAATGGAAAGACTATATGATGTTAGATCAAATAAGGCTCTAAAACAAAGAATATACGAGCTTAGATCAAATAAGCCTCTAATGTAAAGACATTACGATGTTAGATCAAATAAGGCTCTAAAACAAAGTATATACGAGCTTACATCAAATAAGCCTCTAATGGAAAGACTATATGATGTTAGATCAAATAAGGCGCTAAAACAAAGAAAATACGAGCTTAGATCAAATAAGCCTCTAATGGAAAGACTATATGATGTTAGATCAAATAAAGCTCTAAAGAAAAGAATAAACAATGTTAGATCAAATAAGCCTCTGTTGTAATGGAATGTCCCACACTCCCTATCGCCTATGTGGACTGACTATATCAGTGGTTATATATAGTGAGCACAGGATATACCTGGGGGTCGGCTTCGGGAATTAGAAGAGTGCTAATCTGTTCATTACTGTCAAACTTTCTGCTTCGGCAGACAGGAAAAAGAACGAGGCTTTGCCGAAGGACAAAGTTTCGTCAGGGGAGGTAGACAGGCCTTGAACCCGTTTATACGAGTTCGAAGGGAATATATTTGGCCGAGTCTACGGGCTCGGAGAACCTACGATAAACTCGGCCTTGTGCCACATACGACCCACGTGTGGTGGGGGGCGTTAAATATATTGGCTTCAGGAATTAGAACGGTGACAAACTGTTCATTCCGTCCGGGGAGGTAGACAGGCCTTGAACCCGTTTATGCGGCTTCGAAGGGTATATTTTTGGCTGAGACAACCCATGATAAACTCGGCCTTGTATATATATATATATATATATATATATATATATATATATTATTTATATATTATATGCGTAGTACTTATTAGAAAGCGTTCAATATCAGAGATAGAGCTAACATATTTGGTTGGATTGATGTGAGTTTGTGACCCTGGGTTTCACGCTTTTGCGATCGTCAGACAAACGGATTAATTTTTTTTTTAATTTTGGGTTTATGTAGATTGCGTGTATTGGTGTGATTATGGAAGGGGGGATCGTCGTCGTGATGTCACTCATGCTATCGCAAACATAGATGCATGTCCGTACACCCGTTGAGGCACGCAGATACACATACACACTCGCTCGTCCGCCGGGGCTCATACAGATATAAACATATGTGGACAGTATGGGATTTGACATATGTATGTATATGTGTGCTGTTGTCTCTATACATACGCATTTGTATGTTGAAATTTAAAGATCGGAAGTGTAGCGAAAATTTCTCGTGAATGTCTCGTGAATGTTTACATGTCAGCAATCAGAGCATTTTTCTATTTTTTCGATGAATAATATTTCCTCGCATGCACGTATATACATGTGGTGGGGTCTGTGTAAAATTATGATTGGTAAAAATTGGTATTATTTTTAATTTTTTAAAGTTTATTTGTTATTATTTTAAAGCTGGTTATTTGCTTGTTATATTTATATAACATTATTAATACCATAATTGAGTAAGAGATTTTGGTATTAATAATATTATAATATCATATTATTATAGTGTTGCAGTGAATGTGTTAACATCTGTTTGGCCTCTCGTTTGACCGGAATAGCAAATATTATTAAAATGTATTCGTTTCGTCTAGACGAACGTTTTATGGAAACCAGTCCAGACACAAGTTTTAATCACAATTTCGTCTGAAGTATATCATTAATATTGACTTTTTCTTGTTTCCTGGTGATGTGTCGAAAGTTTCCAGACGTGTGACCCAAGATTTAGCATTTATAAAAACAAAATGATGACGTAGTAAACTTGATTTAGAACGCTGACAGTGTTTCTTTCTTGCCTGTACGGCGTAACATTAGCAAAAGTTCGCGCGAGATTCTACGTGATTTCACTGCGTCATATTTTTCTTTTCTATCTTCGTATTCGTCAGATTTTTAGACGCGATGTTAGGCCAGCGTGAATGGAAAATGTAACTTCTGATATTTTCTGTCTCTTGGATATCTCGGTAAGGATGTGCGGGTGGAGTAATAGATAGCAGCTCGAAATGAGAAATCGGAAACCAGAGTTCGAATTCCAGTCGGGTTCGTTAGATTGACTGATGCGCAATTACCCTGGGAAATGTATCAATCCATCTCCTCCTCCGGGCTATGGGTTAAATTGTAGTACTTGATATCAGGAAAAAAATCATTATTATTGGTTTAACCGAGGGAAGGTTACTGAATGAAATAATCACACGAAGGTTGGTAATGAACGATAATACTTAGGACAAGAACAACACATATAAGATTCACCAGCGGCGCGTAGAAGTGGTAGTCAACTGCTAGAAGTGAGTCAAGTGAATTCCGCAATACATCTCCAAGTTCAGGAGATCTACCAACCGCCCCACGCTGTCAGATGTGGCACAAGGCCGAATTTAATGTGGGGTATCCGAACCCGTAGGCTCGGTCAAAAATTCCCCGTAGACCCCGTATAAAATAGGGTCGGGTAGCTGTTTCCTGAGACGAGACTCTGCCCTTCGACATAGGCTCGTCTGGGGATCCTCTCTGCCCGGAAGCAGAGAGTTTGACCAACACGGCTGGAGACGAATTTCCAACTGGAGACCAACATACAGTATTCACTACTGTATTTATGTGAATGGGGAGATACTCATTATTGTCCGTATGTATGCTACAGCAATTATTCTAAAAAAATTGTTAATGAAATATTAACTGGCAAACAAAAGATTTATTCAGAGCTATCTACATTGTCCAACTTTCTTTCGTTATTTATGAATCAAAAATATATTTAATTTCTGTACAGATCCTTTTCGCGATGTGAAAATAAAATGTTATAAGGTTTTCGTAAAACTGAAATAGCGTAAAGCGAAGTCGTATATAGCATTAATTTATATAGGAAAAGTTTTGAACGTTCTCAGATCCCTAAATAACTCCTTGTGGGATGAATAAGGCAGCTGACACTGTTGGAATGTCTGCCAAAATATGTTAATTTAAGTGTGAAAGTCCAGAAAGGCTTCGAGTCGGTTCGCTAAAAAAACCGCTTGTTACGTATACACGAAACTTTTTGTCTTTCTTTTATGTTCATATGGCCAATTGAAGAAGAAAACAAACTTTTTATTTTATCAAAAACAAATTTTTTGCTATCCTTTGTCAGTAGCAATAATAGAGAAAGCATTACCTCGAACCATGGCCAGTGAGACACGCTGCAAGTGCCACTCCGTTTCGCGAGGCTCGTCCCTTAATTGAGACGCAATCGCGACAATCCTCCGAAGGAACGCCATCGAACGAGGGTCAATAACCCCAGAAGTCTCCACTGCCACAGGAGTAAAACTAACTGTTCGTAAGAGAAAAATATATAAATATATTTTTTTCTGCGTCCCGTGTCACAGACCCCGTCTCAATTGCGGATCTGATTAAATTACCGGTCGAAAATGTAACAGCTCAGGTAGCATCCCAAGTCAACGGCTTCCCCAGGATACTTAACTTGCTATTTTAAATATTTTATCCCAGTCGCATCGAGTAAATCTTTAACGTCGAGTCAGAAGAGTAACTCTGTGTTTGGAAAGGTTTACTAAAATTCACAGGTAAATTAATCGTAAGCAGTTGTTCAATTTAAGCCATTTCTTGAAGCGGGTCAATTCTGTTGCCATGAGGCCTAAGGTTTACTTTTAAAAGGCTCGGGTTACTCAAAATCATAGTCAAAACGGCGTGGATGATTTTAACGAGAATGCGACGAGTCTGCGGATTCTTTCTTCTTTATGTACCGTACCCCTTCAGGGTGTAGTCAATCATGGCTCTCCACAATTTCCTGTTCTTTGTATATCTTAATATTTTTTGTCATTTTGTTATTTCTCTTAAAACTTGTTACGCTATCCATTTACTCAAGCTCATTAAATCGATTATGCGTTGTTTTCCTCTGTCCCAATTGACTTTAATCTGTCCTGTGAGTATCAGAATTTCCAAGCTCTCTTTCCTCGTTAATTACCCTAAAATATTTAACTGTCTATTCCTGATGTGTAAGTTTCATTTTTGTTTCAATTTTCTTTAAAGCTTTATTTTTGCGCACATGTTATATCCATGGTATCGTCAGCATCCTTCCATAGAACCACATTTCTGTTGCTTCAAGTCTCTTCTTTATCTTTGAGGAGATTGTCCAGCATTCATTGCCTTAAAGGAGGACAGATCTTTGTTTCTAATGAAATTTTCCTTTCTTCCTTTTTGATTTCAATATATGTCTCGAGTGTGTAAAATTTTCCAAGACCACTTTCAGGTAGCTATAATATATTAATATATGTTTTTAACCTCTCATAATCTGGCAACCTTGAATCTGAGCTCAACGAAAATCGTTCCCTGTGCCTAACTTTTCTAGTGTTTTTGAATGAGGCATGTATCTTTGAAATTGAACCAGTGGAAGTGGAAGACTTGTTTGGACACGCACACGAACAAACACACATACATACACTGTACTTTATATATAAGAGAAGCCGTCTTTTCTCATTATGTGCCATAGCAATTACTATCTCTTCCTGATATTAAGTATAAATACCCTTTTTGTTTTCATTTTCTCTAAAACTTAATCGCTGCTTAAATGTTCGGTCTATGGTATTCTTAGGGTCCTCCTGAAGAACCACATTTCTGTTGCTTCACTTCTTCATCCAGCATTCATTGCCATACAGAGGGACAGATCTCTCCCATGACAGTTCAGTACTCTTTTCATTGATTTTAAGGAAATTTTTCTGTTTCGGAATATTCTGCCTTTGGAATGCATCATTGGCTAATTCCAATAAGCCTTCGCATTTCATTGCCATAAATTTTCCATCATATTAATACGTAAGGAAGACTTTGTAGATCATGACAAGTTGTTAGGACGTTGGGATATGTGTAAGATTTCAGGGGGAATAAATTGAATGCGTGTGAGGCGTTATTGACGTTTAGCCTGTTAATATTATATGGTTAGATACAACTTGAACAAAATATATTGGAATAACATATTTATCTATTTATCTATATCTATCTATCTATCTATCTATCTATCTATCATTCTGTTCCTATCTTTCATTCGGTTCCTATCTATCTATCTATCTATCTATCTATCTATCTATCTATCTATCTTTCATTCGGTTCCTATCTATCTATCTATCTATCTATCTTATTCTGTTCATATCTATCTATCCATATTTCATTCGGTTCATATCTATCTATCTATCTATCTATCTATCTATCTATCTATCTATCTATCTATGTAATTCGATTCATATCTATCTATCTATCTATCTATCTATCTATCTATCTATCTATCTATCTATCTATCTATCTATGTAATTAGATTCATATCTATCTATCTATCTAATTCGATTCATATCTATCTATCTATCTATCTAATTCGATTCATATCTATCTATCTATCTATCTATCTATCTATCTATCTATCTATCATTCGATTCCTATCTATCTATCTATCTATCTATCTATCTATCTATCTATCTATCTATCTATGTAATTCGATTCATATCTCTCTATCTTATTCTGTTCATATCTATCTATATTTCATTCGGTTCAAATCTATCTATCTATCTATCTATCTATCTATCTATCTATCTATCTATCTATCTATCTATCTATCTCTTCCTGTTCATATCCATCTATCTCACCCCGTTCATATCTATCTATCTTGTGAATTCTCATCATTTTTCTACAATTTCATCTTTTTTTTTTGTTTTTGTCATCATCTAATTCGCTTTTAAACAACCGCCAAACAATTCAGGGAAATCCTGGCGACTCACCTATCGCCATTACCTTATTTGCCTGTTGTCCTCTATTAACAAAACGTAGAAGAGAAAACAAAAACAGATCAATCTCTCGTTCCCCACTACCGACAAATAAAAAAAAACCCAGATCGATGAGAAAAGGCCGCGTGTCGACAGAAAATAAAGCGAAAATACAAATCTGAAGGCGAAGAGATTTTTTTGCCCGTTGTTGAACTTTTTCTTTCCTTGTCAAACCGGATAAAATAAAAAGATTGATGGCGGATGAAATTATGGAAATGAAAAGAAAATGAAGCGTTTACGTTGATAATGTAAGATTAGTTAAGGCGGAAAATGATTTTCGCATTGGGAAAATAATACGATCTTCAATAAACCTACTGCTGCTGATAATAATATATAAAGAAGTAATGAAATTTTTGTTTATTAATCTGATAGATTTTATAACGTTAAACGCTATTTTAACGGATACTCGTATTTGAGGAGACGGTCCGATTATTTATTAAGCAGTATATTTATTGAATTTTGTTTACCAGCCTGAATATTGAATAAATCATAGTAAAGAAAATCGTGCGCTATCCAGCAAGATTCGAACCTGCGTTCTCCTGGACAGAGAAGAACATCGTTAAATCTGACGTACTCGCGACCGATTGAACAACAGAAAACATGGCCGACCAGTGAACGATGAAGAGAACATTTAAGCAATGAAATGACACGGCATATAAGATAAGAAGAACGAGCTTGCTTAAATGAATGACAAAACCAGGTTTAAGAGAGATAGCAAAAAGTCAAAATTTACTAAGAGCTACCAAGGAGAGGAAATTGTTGAGAGCCATGATCGTCAACCTTCTGAAATGACACGGCATATAAGTTAAAAAGAACCTGCTTACTGAAATGAATGACAGAGCAATGGTTTAGGAGAGATAGCAAAAAGACAAAGTTTATTAACAGTTATCAAGGACTGCACTATGTCGGCTCAGCAAACGATGGCATTGATCCAAAGACAAGATTCAGTCAAAACAATCTAGGAGATTGCCCGCGGCGCATACAATTGGAATATTCTGATAGTAAAACATTTAAGTGTTGACTGATTTTTATTTTACGGTTTATCAACCGTTTAAAAAGTCTAAACAGATTTTCAGATAGTGGGGGTAATTTTTTTTTTTTTTTTTTGCAAGTGACATTCAAATTGAAGACAATATTTCGTGCAATGTGACTAGCGTAAATAACTTTTATTGAACAAAAATAACACACTCGTTTAAAACGGTTTAAAATTAACTTGAATTACGCGTTCTGGAATGGTTAATTTCAAGCTGAGGTGGATAGGACGACGGGGGGGCAATTGAATGGACATCACTGTCACCAGACATCACTGTCACCACTAGACATTTTCATGTGGGATGGACTGAAAGATCTTGTTTCTAAGCACAAACCGAAAACAATTCCAGGGATAAAACATTAATGTCTTATACATTTACTGAAATTAAGGTAGAAATGTGTCAAATGGTTTCTAGAAGTCTTGCTCATAGGGTTCAGCGTTGTATTGAAGATAAGCGGGAGCATTTTGAAGATGAAAGGGAGCATTTCGAAGATGAAGAGAAGCATTTTGAAGATGAAGAGGAGCATTTTGAAGATGAAGGGGAGCATTTTGAAGATGAAGAGGAGCATTTTGAAGATGAAGGGGAGCATTTCGAACATGAAGGGGAGCATTTCGAAGATGAAGAGAAGCATTTTGAAGATGAAGAGGAGCATTTTGAAGATGAAGAGGAGCATTTTGAAGATGAAGTGGAGCATTTCGAACATGAAGGGGAGCATTTTGAAGATGAAGAGGACCATTTTGAAGATGAAGGGGAGCATTTCGAACATGAAGGGGAGCATTTTGAAGATGAAGATGAAGAGGAGCATTTTGAAGATGAAGGGGAGCATTTCGAAGATGAAGAGAAGCATTTTGAAGATGAAGGGGAGCATTTCGAACATGAAGGGGAGCATTTTGAAGATGAAGAGGAGCATTTTGAAGATGAAGGGGAGCATTTTGAAGATGAAGAGGAGCATTTTGAAGATGAAGGGGAGCATTTTGAACATGAAATAGTTAGCATTTCCAAAGAACATGAAGGGAGATATTTTGAAGATGAAGGGATTTTTGTTTTTAAAAGTTAAGATGAAGAGAAGCATTTTTTAATTAAAGATGAAGAGGAGGTATTTTGTAAGATGAAGGGATTTAATTTGCATTTTTTTCCTTTTCTTTAAGATGAAGAAATCAACATTTTGAAGAACTGAAGGGGAAATATTTCTAACATCTAAGGGATCTATTTTGAAGATGAAGATGAAATCTACCATTTTGAAGATGAATCTATCTATCATGATCGAACATGAAGAGGAGCATTTCGAACATGAAGGGGAGCATTTTGAAGATGAAGGGGAGCATTTCGAACATGAAGGGGAGCATTTTGAAGATGAAGATGAAGAGGAGCATTTTGAAGATGAAGAGGAGCATTTCGAACATGAAGGGGAGCATTTTGAAGATGAAGGGGAGCATTTTGAAGATGAAGGGGAGCATTTTGAACATGTTAAATAGTTAATAATAACAAAGCATATTGTTCTGGTGTGACGATACTTATAAATTTTCTTAAATTACTGTAATGTATTTTTGTTTGTTAAAAGTTAACAAATAAAAAATGATGTTACTTTTTACAGGGTAATTTTACTGCAGCCAGAAAATGGCGTCTTTTAATTAAAGTGATGAATATTTTGGTAATTTTCTGTAAGATAATGACTGATTGTTTTTTTTTGTGCATTTAATTTGAATTTCTTTTCCTTTTCTTTATTCTAGGTAAGTTTTAAAATCAACATTTCGCTTCAACAACTGGACTGATGTATACCGTACACGTAAATATAATTATATTTTTTCTATCTATCTATCTATCTATCTATCTATCTATCTATCTATCTATCTATCTATCTATCTCATTCTAACGCAAACATCGATGTATGCAGACACATTTTATGTTAGTACGATGAATGACGAAACGACGAAATTTCCCCCACCACTTCCACAATAACACCAATACATGCAATCTACATAAACCCAAATTTTGAAAACATTAATCAGTTTGTCTGACGATCGTTAAAGCGTGAAACCCAGGGTCACAAACTCACATCTATCCAACCAAATATATATATATATATATATATATATATATTTGTTTTTGCGGGTGTAAAAGCCTTTTTGGCAGACAGGATTTTGTCATAATGTGATCGAAATAAAATTTAGAACTTCTTGGTTTAGTACAGTTTATTTCTTTATGTTTTTTTTCTTTTATTGTTTGTAAAGTACCCTTTTTTATTATTAGCACGTTTTTGCTTTTAATAAACCCACAAATACAAAAATAGGGATAGGTTTACGAAAATAAAGGCGATTTTAGGGTCCTCGAACGAATCGGAAATAGTCCCATTAATTTTAATGAGGAAACTTGATTTGAGATTCTAGTGTTTTGAGTTACGGACTCAGTCTTGCAATGAATTAAACTTGTATTTGAAGGAATTGCATTATTTAATGTCTTATAACAAATGCGTCATTATAATAATTCACGTAGAACACATTTAACAGCTTTCTGAAAATTCCCCATAGTTTACAAAGGTTTTAAAACTGTTGAGTTATCAAGTTTTGAAAGCAATTCCAACGTTGATTGAGTGGCATCTTATTCTAAAAGAGCTTCCAGGTCATCACTTTTGCATTCTTGCGACCTACCGCTGTGTTGATCTTCAAACAGATCCAACTTTCTTGAACTTCGCAGACCATTCACAACACATTCCAACCGAATCATCACCATCAGCTTCATCAATCATCTTCTTCGCTTCTGTTAATCACCTGTACAAACTGAAAAACAGATGGTATTACGCATGCGTCTTGGCATCCATGATTTTTTTTTTCCTTTGTTTGTTTATCCACATAAAAAACACAGAATACAGCGCGATCAAAAAAGAGTTTCACCGGTGTATTCAGTCTGCACTTTTATAAAAACAAGGCAATGAAACTTTCTGTTGTGGCCTGGCTAGGGCCAGAAATACAGACAGAAACTTCACCCACCAAAAGGCAGTACCTGCTCCTATTCATAGATTGGAGAGTCCATGCGTGCGTTGGTAAACTACCATAACACTTTTTGTACATAGAATATATATATATATTATGGGACCTTACCCATAATAACATAATGGACTATTCCGTACGTAATAAATACTGCGCCTCAAGAGGAAGCAGGGAGTTCAGTCTGAAGTCTGGAGTGAGGTCCGTTAGAAGTTCGTCAAGAGTCTGTCAGTCAGTCAGATCGAGCGAGTCAGTCAGTCAATCGAGTCAGAGGGAGTCAAAACAGAATCGCGTTCAGACAATTACTGCAAGACATTGGAATAGTGATACTGGTCGAGACTACATTGTTCTCTCTACTAAATCTGATTGTTCGTACTAACACTTCCCTGTATATATTCCTGTTTGTAATATATCTGTGTTATTCGATATCCGTGTTAGAGTTCTTCTTTATTGGTTCTACCTTGGACTATCACCGTGGTACCAGGAACCGGACCATAACACACACACACACATAAATAGTCATCAAATTTATACGTGAGCTGTAAACATAATAGTGTTCGATGTGGCTAGACAGAGCGAGGATATATCTATCTATATCTCTGAGATGAGGTATTATGTACATTATTTACATTATTCGGACTATTGTCCTCATCTTTGTCGCCATATTTATCACAACGTTGCCAACCACCTGAAGAAGGCCGGAGCGTACAACGACCGAAACGTTGTGATAAATATGGCGACAAAAGCGTCGATATATATTAATTAGTACATATACTAGTACCTACGTGTTCGTGATGACTCAAGTTTCGCTGAATTATAGCTCATCGGGCACATTGTCTGTTTGCTAAAAGTAATCAGATGTCTTATGGGAGAAACGCTGCTACGTCGCCTCAAAATAAAATTGAAGAAAAAGAATAGGAAATGCGATGCAGACTGAGTTAATTTTTTTTAAATATAGAAAAAAAGGAAAACACGAAAGTACTAATTTATACATATATCATAATTAAGGAATTCATCGAGTCTAGAAGAAACCTCAACAGAATGCGGAAAGCACTGGACGGCCGTTTCGTCTCATATTTAGGGCTCATCAGCAGTGCGCATCCACTACCGAGAATTGAAACCCGCAAAGTTACGATATCAACTGTCATCAACTGTACCAAGGGGACTCGGTGACGAAGCAGTATTGAATTAGACTCGATATAGCGCCGCTCGATCACATATTCGGTGGTGGAACTCGTTTCTCTATAACCATAGGGCTCTGCCCCCACGAGCCATGACTACTTTCCCGAAGCCGTTCTATCCAGAGCAGTAGAAGCCGGTTCAAGCAATGATATACAAGTGATACAAATTATTAAAAGGATTTGAGATAATCATTATGATTATCTCAAATATCTCAAATCCTCCTTTATATATATATATATATATATATATATATATGATTATATATAATCACTCATACGAAAAACAAATATAAG